CACACACACACACACACACACACACACACACACACACACACACACACACACACACACACACACACACACTCACCTAAACAGGTTACAGTATTCCATACAGGCGGCAGGGCTGATGATCAGGAAGAAAGATAAAACCCTGGGAAATCAGAAGATTTGGGAGGGTAGGATTTGATTGATTTATTAGGCAAAGTTAGGAATTTTGGGGTCAGGGAGAAAAACTGGGCTTTCAAGCAGCCAGGAAGTTAACTGAATGAAGACAGGTAATTCTTGTTCCAGTTAACTAAATGCAACCAATAATTAATTTTGCAGGAAATCTATAGATATTTTAAATAGCCATTATAAAAAACAATTGCAAACATGTAAAGCTCAAGGATAAGGAATATCTGCACAGCTGTTCATTTCAGAGTAAGCAGTCTTACCGAAATATTTGCCCCAAGGCAAGTTGGCAAAACATTAGGGTGACCAGTGAAAGTGAGATGTTAAACAATTTTTGTACTGGTATAATTTAAGCAATCTATGTTTTGTTACTAAATAGCAATATAAAATAAGGAGATATGAAAGAGATAAACTAAGAAATCCACAAAATATTGAAGAAATGTCAACTGCATTAGTGGGTTAGGACTTGCAGTCTTCTTGCTTCAACTCAGTACTATTTCAAACAGCACTACGTTGCACACTCAAGGTTCCCTAGTGTGCTGTACCAGCAGGGTCTACATGGACCAATAAATGCGCCACACCTTAGTATGCTTTAGAATTTAAATCCCATAGTGTGCATTACCCCACCATGTAGATTATGACCTTAAGGAGTGTGGAGCTACAATTTTGGTCCCAAGTCAGCAGTATCTCAATGAATGGAACTTCTTGTGGATATAGCACCCACAAGGCACTTTGTTTTCGGTTTTTATTTTAAGATTTCCTAGGAATTTATTAGTGTTAATCAAAAAAAAAAAAAACAAGTGAAAATTGATTCATGGAGGACAGGTCCATCAATCGCATTGTGAATAAAAATTGGATTTAAATTTTTTTTTAAATTGGATTTTTTTTATAAAGTGCATTTTGAGGAAAAAACCTATCATGATAGGTCAAATATTTTATCATGGAATAGGGGTTATAAATTCTAACTCTATAGCATGAGACAATATATTAATGTAATGTTTAAGACAAGTTTTGTAAATAAGTTCCAATAGTTCATGGATTATGGACCCAATCTTATGGAGTTCCATGGGCTTCTGTATGGATTATTTAGGTTAATCTTTCTATCTACCCAATGAGACTCAGTCTAGAAGATACCATCAGAGATGCTTAGTTTTGCAGTTCTCAAACTGTGGATTTGTGTTTCCAGAGATAACATGCTTGTTAACAGCAAAAATGTTTTTAAATAAATAATATATAGAGGTGAGAAGTGACAGACCTCAATCCTATTGTCCCTCTGCAAATTTGTGTACACAGAGACAATCCCTTACCTCTCTCTAAAAGTACAGTTTCAAAAAGTTAAATGAATAGAAGATTGTTGGGGGTGGAATAGATCTGGACAAGGAGAAGAAGTCTGGAGATAAATGTGAGAAGGGAGGGACAGGCAGTAGAAACAAAAGTGAAACTGTTTAAGCAGCATATTCCAGAAGTCTTGAGGTCTTTCTGGGTGCAGCCTTCATTGATTTGAGATCTACCATACCATTTTCTCACTAGAAGGGAAAACTTATAATGGCAGCAGGCCGTAAAAGAGGCCCCATTTGGGAATATTTTAAGGAAGTTCCTCTACCTGTGGGTAAGACAGGCATGCATACAAAGTGTTTAATCTGAAAATTTTTCAAAATAAATCACTTTAAAAATGTATAGTGTGTACCTTCTAAAAATGAAACCTACATCTGTCTCTGAGTTGTGAAGAATATGTAATAAGGTTCTAACAGCCAACAAGAATGCACTTTTACAAATCCATGATTAAATCGAGGCTTCCTGGCTAGTGATTTAAATCATGATTTAAATCAAATCCACCCTGCTTCCCTATCTCTATTGGAAACGCCTCACCTAATGCATCCTAGGATTGCATTAGCCTTTTTCATGACAGCATCACACTGGTGGCTCATAGTCATCCTGTGATTGACCAATACACCCAGGTCTTTCCCCTCCTCTATTGCTTCCAACTAGTAAATCTCCAGTTTATAGCAAATATTTGTTAGTCCCTAAGCACATGACTTGCACTATTACATTTCATTCAATTTCTATTACTCCACTTTTCAAGGTCATCCAGATCTTGTGTGATACTCTGGTCCTCCTCTGTATTGGCAGTACTTCCCAACTTTGTGTCATCTGCAAATTTTATTAGCATACTCCCACTTTTTGTGCCAATATCATTAATGCAAATGTTAAATAAGATTGGTCCCAAGAGCAATCCTCCAGGAACTCCACTAGCAACTGCCCTTCAGCCAGACAGTTCTCCTTTCGATATGACATGTTGTAGTCTCCCCATTTAATCGTTTCCTTACCCACCTTTGGATTAATCCCCGTCTTCTCCAATTTAACTAACAATTTCCAGACCTAGGTGGAACAATATCTGATGCTTTGCTGAAATCAAGGTAGATTAGGTCTACTGTATTTCCTTTTTCTAAAACATTGGTTATCTTCTCAAAGATCAGGTTGGTCTGGCAAAATCTACCTTTTGTAAACCATGTTTTAGGTTAT